CCTCCGAAACGAGCAATTCCTTCCGGGTACGTTCCAGGTGCCCTCTGTTATCGCAACCAACAACGCCACTAGTAGATCTACTACTACCAAGGCTTACTTCCGCCATGATCACAGAACCTTTTTTTGTCTTACTGGGGAGATTCTTGCGATATCGATACTGTACAAAAAATTTAAATTATGTCATGTACATATTAAATAATGTACATGTACATGACAACTGGCAACTGAAATCCGACCCCCTTGCCAGCGCACCGCGCCGGCAAGGCGGTCGGATTTCAGTTGCCAGCAGTGTAGATCTACATTGTATCTACATAATACACACAATGTACATAATAATTATGTACATGTAAAACATGGAAAACATGGAAACATGGAATTCGAAAATATGGACAACGGTGTTGCACAGGTGAGTAAGTATTAAATAGTTCCACCAACTAAAGTTACTAAACCAGATTTTGAGCAGTAACTGAGTCAGACGATACTTCCTTGGCTCACCATCCGAGTTCATGTTCATGTACAATGTACACTCACATGCAGTAAAGTCTAAAGAGACCTGTATAGATCTACTTCTTGTGGCACTCAAAGACATGTGCATCTACATGTACATGACTATCCATATTTGATAAACCTTGTTTTGTTGAAAATATGTTGTTGGTTGACAGCAGGGAGTCGTGAAATAATTGCTATTGTACTGTCAGTTGTGTATTCTTCGCTTGTTCTTGGTTGTCTTCTTTAAAAATCATCTTCATGCTCAGTCCTTTTAAACTTTATAGCATTTGTTCTTCCTACTTTTCTCTTTGTAGAAAAAGAAAAAGGACCAAGGAACTACAAGTTACGCTATAATGTCAGTTTACTAAACAATCGGCTCATGCGATAACATTGCACGACACTGACCGACGGTACTGACGTTCTACAACGAACTGGCTAACAGCTCTAGCACATCTTGGGTGCGCGCTTTTTATATTCTTTTTCTTATTTCTCCAACTTCTGTCCATTGCCCATTGCGTCCTTCTCTCAGCTCGTCAGCTGACAACAGTTACTGTCACCACCATGACACTGTCGTGAGAAGGTGCTCTGTCTAACTAAAGTCTAAGACTAGTATAGTAATAGGGAGGGGCCCTGAGGAGGAGAAAATCACAAGTGAAAGAAATCATCTAAGGTACTTCGAAGTACTTACATGAATATGTTACAGATATAGAGTGGCGGAAATAGACCTGTTGAACAAGCGAATACATGGAGGGTAAAGGACCCATGAGGTGTCGAAGCAGTGCATTTCCTATCATCCTTGCAGAACATTATGTAGCAGTCAATAGGATAGGATTTGATCAGATACAATTTTACACAAAATGGAGAGGATGGACTATTGGTGAACAGATACTAGTACAAAGTCACCTACTTAGAATATTTCGACGTTTTCGAGAGAGCATAGAAAATGGGCGTGACAAGGTTCACAGCACATCATGGGCGTTAGCTTGTTCCAGAGAATGGCACCAATGAACTGGATCGTACGTCTACCCGGAAGGACCGAGCCAGACGGGTACTTGCTATAGGTTCTGGTCTAGGCCTTGACAGATTATGCTAATATTTTCGTGAAATTATGCTTTTCGCATTGCTGAAGAAATTGCAGAATTATGCTACTTTTTATGCTAAAAGTTATCATATTATGCCGCATTATGCTCACATATGCTGCTAATGAATAACGGTTATGTGCAAAATAACAGAGGAATTTTTTTGTAGAGGGCGGTGTACTGTAGTAGCAAAAGTTCAACGGGGTCAACGCACCTTCCGACCTAGCTACGACCGTCACTGATTGTAGTGGACTGGACATGTTATCAAGGGAGTCGTAACCCTACGACTTCCTGGTGCATCTACTTGTACTTGTACTTGTAGAACATGTACAACTGTATGGAATTTGATGCGAACAGGCGGATTATTCCGATTTTATGCGATTCGTATGCAATTTGCCTCGAATTATGCGATTATTCGATTTTGATAGGAATTATGCGAAAAATTATGCTAGCATAATCTGTCAAGGCCTATTCTGGTCAGCTCCACGGGTGCGATCACTCTGTGTTCTGACGTAATAGTTCCGAAACGAGACGCTCGAACGGCCATGGATGCAGCGACGAACGAATATTGAAACTTTGGCTGCCAGAGCGTCTTCGAAGGTAGGAAGACCGAGTCTCTCGAAGAGCCCTGCAATGGAAGATCAAGGCGGAAAACCAAACTTCTGAAGGCACGCATCGCAGCCTCAGTCATCCGAGTGAGGGCGTCCATGTTTCTGGTCATCAGAGACGGATACTTAGACCAGATGTTGACATGCACAATGAATTTTGCACCACACTTACAGGGAGTACTGAGACATTCCATTCTACCTTCCCCTTATTGTAAACACTCTGTGGCAGGCCATGCAAAACCGGGCGATCCGATGCATTGATGGCAGCCCGCCATGTTCCGCGATGCAGCCCCTCCTGGCTGCCAACTCGATTTACCGCGTCACTGAACTTTTTAAACAAAAGCTCCTGATCTTCATCTGGCGTTGTCTAAATGACTCCACTAGCCTTGCTCTAGCCCAGCTTCTCAAACCAGCAGCATGCAGCGGCAGAAATACGCGCCATCAGCATGCCAATGGTCTGCTCAGCCAGCCAGCTCGCAGTCGGTGTGGCCAAACGAGATTCGCCACCGCAGGAGCATTGCTGTGGAACAGTTTGCCTAGAGAGGTGCGCACCGTATCCAGATTGCAAGATTTTAAGCTAGCCTGCCTTCCTTATGTATGCCTGAAATAGGTTGTGTTTCGTCAGGCTTTGACATGTTCCTTTCTTCTCAGTATTCTCGCTCGCATAGTACTCCACGTCTATGATAATATTGCCTATGCTGTTGCTCATTAGGATTTTGGCAAATTCTGCCCTTCGCTTTCATATAACTGGACCAGGAACCCGTTTGAACTTGCGAAGTAAAATAAAATCAATCAATCAATCTCTCACTAGTAATAATCCATGAACATTCCAAGTTGGAAGGTGGTTGGTTAGCGCGGCTGTCGAGAAGTGCTCAAGCTCAATTTCATGCCGTGGACTGTCTCAGTATTGCAAAAATTCGAAAATCAAAATACAGAGAAAGGCATGGCAAATTGTTCTAGGAAGGTTTCAGAACAATTGGCTCAGCCGTCAGAGAGTTAGAGATTCGGCCAGGTTGTATGCATTTCCCTATGATTTAGAATTTCGCGCAGATTGACTACCACACCATTACCAACCAACCAACCAACCAACCAACCACAAACCCCGCGGTTGGACTGTACCTTTTTTTTGCTGAGCAGAAGAAAGAGTAAAGGATTAGGTAGACAGGCCTGTTTAGCCGATTAGCAGTAGGTGTTGGTGTGCGTGAAAGATGGAGTGGTGCAAGGGCATCTGTGCTCCTCTTCTTGTCTGGCTGCCCAACTACTAGTGACAGTTACCCGCTGCAACACGGGCGATCACTCCGCGCTGTCCTGAATGGCCAGAGGTGATCACCATTTTGAGATCTCTTCTGGTACCACTACCCCAAGATAGCATCCTGCGCCCTACCTTTTTTTCCTGTACATGTAAATGATTCCAGCACATGTCTTTCCCGTGGCAGCGAGGTGGGTGTATGTCGATGATACCACCCTATAGACTATATAATAGTATCCTCCGATGACTGAAGCATTCTGGCCCCGCTTTGGCTGACGTCCAACTCTCGCTGGATCACCTAGTTACTTCATCATGCCGGAGGCAGCCACCATGAGGCAAGGCAAGTCACAGAGGTCAGTTTTGGTGGATATCTACTCGATCCTGCCAAAAGCCTGAAGCAGCTCTGAGTCACATTCGACACCCCCCTGACTCAGTGACATTCCGCCAGCACCTTCCGAACTTCGCACTCCGCGCCACGTCCAGGCTGGGCTTCCTATGGCTGGGTGCAGTGAAGTTCCTCAACATCCACTGGGTAAGCTGGCAACATATTGCAGCTTCATCCCGCCAGTTCCAAAGAAGAGGTTTCTCAGCATAACTCGGTAATCCATTCCTAAAAGGAACTGGCAAACCGACTTTTAGTTATGAAGGTTGAGGGAGTCGAAAACGGGAAAGGTCTGGATAAGAAAAATGACTGTCGTCACCAGGACTCGAACCAGGGACCCTCACTTATGGCTGGTGATGCTCTGCCACTAAGCTATGGTTTGGTCGTCATCCAAGCAGTGACTGGTCAACATTTCCATCTCAACTTTGTTCAAAGGCCACTTCAATGCCAAATATGTGCAAGAGCCGGGGAAGAACGCACTACATGAATCGTGGCAATGGTGAGGAGGCTTAGGGAGCTCTGCCGACTTTCGGTCTGGAATTTTTTTTGGAATTTCTGTTTCTTTTTCCTGGTGCGTGCTTGTGGCATTGAAGCCGAGACCTTTGGTCGGTGGAGCCCCTGGTACCTCACCATCACTGCTGCCCAGTGCAGCCCCTGCTCAGTAGCTGTTTGTTTTTGTCCACATAATTATTTATTTTACGAGTTGGGTTTGTGAATAATAGTAAAAAAAACACAAAAAAACAACATTCATAGCCACCCAGATGCACCACGCAGGGAGAGAGAGAAAGAGAGAGGAGAGAGAGAGAGAGAGAGAGAGAGAGAGAGAGAGAGAGAGAGAGAGAGAGAGAGTGAGTGAGTGAGTGAGTGAGAGAGAGATAGTCGGAGAGAGAGAGAGAGAGAGAGAGAGAGAGAGAGAGAGAGAGAGAGAGAGAGAGAGAGAGAGAGAGAGAGAGAGAGAGAGAGAGAGAGAGAGAGAGAGAGAGAGAGAGAGAG